ACCACATGATCCTGGCACAAAGCAGACATGTAGGAGTAGAAGAGAACAGGAGGCCCAGAAACAAACCCACAGAGATTCAGCCACATAATTTTTGACAAAGATGTTGAAAATATACTTTGGGAAAAATGCCAATCAATGCTGGCAAACCTAGTATCATCTGTCAAGAAATGAAACCAGATACATATCTGCTGTCATGAAGTAAAAAAATTACTTTAGGGTGTAAGACCTTGTCTTAGTGTTTCTGTTGCTGTGATAAAAAACCATTATCAAAAGCAATTTGGGAAGGGAAGGGTTTATACACAACTCTCAGGTCACACTCTGTCACTGAGGAAGGAACTCAGGGCAGGAGTGGAAGCAGGAACTGGGGCTGAATGGATAGGGGAATGCTGCTTACTGGCTTGCTCCTCCTAGCTTGCTTGTACAATTGCTTTCTTAGACAACCCAGGACTACCTGCCCAAGGCAGGCACACCCCACAGTGGTCTGGTCCTTCCCACATCATTTGTTAATTAAGAAAATGCCCCACAGGTCAATCTGTGTTTTCTCAATTGAGGTTCTCCTTCAAAATGACTTTAGCCCTTGTCAAGCTGACACAAAAATAACCAGAACAGACCTGCAACTGAAATTGTCAGAGGAAGCAGGAGCTAACCACCACAAGGTATAGCAATAGGCGTGGACTCCCTGAAAGGAATTCCAGTAGCACAGGAAATGTCTACACAACACAGGAAATGATTAGATTGAAAATACTGCCTACACGATGAAAAAAACCATCCTTGCCAACTATACATCTGATAGATCAACATCCAGAATCTATGTACGCAACCCCAACATTTAAATACAATCTCCCCCCATCATTCATTCATCTAATCAATAGTGAATTGATGTTTCTCAGAGGAAGTAGTACAGATCGCCAACAGATATCTGAAAAAGTTTCAACATTTCTGACCCTCAGAGAATTGCAAATTAAAATGACATTGAGATCTATGAGTGTTGCATTTACTCTTCAAGCCATGTCCTCATGGAACTTGTATTGTATTTGACTATTTGTTAGTATACCAGACGCAAGGTTGAGTTTTTGTTCCTTTTAAAAAATTTTTTTTTAACTCTGTGAAGAATGTACCATCACCACCACCATTTTACAAGTAATAGTGCTGACACAGAGTAGGTAAGTCACTTGACCAAGGTTATAAAGATAGTTAGAAGGGACAGATCTGGATTTAAACCCAAGAGATGTGATTCTGCACTGTGGTATCTCCTAGGCTCACAGGCACCATGAAAGCAGTAAGCACGCTGTGTTTCCGAGAACTGCCAGATGGTCTTCAACAATCAATGAGGCATAGATTGAGCCAGCGTGAGTGCAATTGACCAGCTTGTGTTTCAGAAAGTGAGTTAGAGTTGCTGGAGGATGGTGGGAGTCCCCAAAGTCCTGTGTTTGAGGGCGAAGGTAAAGGCTCCTTTTCTATCCTTCAGGCCAAGAAAGAATGGAGAGGACCTTAGAGGAAACACCATCATATTATTTCTTGTTAGGACATCTGCCTGGAGCAATGGTCCTGATGTTGATCCCATTCTAGGACAGGAACAGCAGTGAAGAGTGAAAGCTGGTCCAGAAGAAGGCCTGATGACGGCCGGGGTACCTTCTATGGCTTTGTAGGCAGGATGCTCAAACCTTTCCGTGGTCCAAAGGACATGGAAGAAAGTACTGGACTTGAGTCAGCTTGCTGGCTCCTACTTACATCACCACTCTCTGGCCAAGGGGCTATCTCACAACAGGAGTAAGAGCTGTGTGTGTGTGTGTGTGTGTGTGTGTGTGTGTGTTGTGTATGAGTGATGTGTGTGTGTGTGGTGTGTATGAGTGATGTGTGTATGTATATGTGGTGTGTATGAGTGATGTATGTGTGTGTATGTGGTGTGTATGAGTGATGTGTGTGTGTGTGGTGTGTATGAGTGATGTGTGTGTTGTGTATGAGTGATGTGTGTGTGTGTGTGTGTATGTGGTGTGTATGAGTGATGTGTGTGTGTGTGTATGAGTGATGTGTGTGTGTGTATGTGGTGTGTATGAGTGATGTATGTGTGTGTATGTGGTGTGTATGAGTGATGTGTGTGTGTGTGTGTGTGTGTGTGCGCATGCATGTGTTGGAAGAGCCACTCAAGCTCGGTGTCCCCTTCTGCCTGACCAGGAAAGCCTCAGAGAGGAGAGGAGAGAGTAATGCTGCTCAAATCTGGCCATTTCATCCTCCTTCACAGCAAGACTCAGCTCTGCCATGAAGTCTGAGGGCGTTTGCAAAAACAAGATATCAGATGAAGCATCTAAACTGGTCTAAACTAAACTTGGGTAACTGACAGTAGACTGTGAAATATTTTAAAGGGGCGTGGAGAGAGGGAAATGATTTGGCATAACAGTTGAGGACAGTGGCAAAGAGGGAAAATTATATTACATTTGTGTTAGAAACTTCCCTGAGAACTGTGTATTTATTTACACATGTGCTGACTTATGGAGTCTCTCTCCCACTAGCCCCTAAACTGCGAGTGTAAGATCTCTTACTAACTGAGCTATCCTCAAGATTCAACACAAGGCCTCTAAAGAGAATATTTGTTTAAAAGAGAAGTTAAAAGTTAAAGACAAGGAGAGGTTTGACTGGTTATGAGTCCTGGCATCCCAAGGTATCTGATTAGACCCCGACCTGCATCCCAGGAGATGCTTTGGATGCTAGATGCTCTTTCCAAGAACTAAGCGAAGGTCTGAAAAACTAGTACAGTGTAGTGGTGTAATTGTGGATCAAGGACTACTGGCCCTTATAGTTAGGATCTAGGGAATTACTACAGCACCAGATCTTCCACTTCCTTATCTATTGCTGACTGTACTGACAGTCAGTCACCCGTCTCATGTATGATCTCACTCCCATTCCATAGGAATCCTGAGGGGTCAGCACAGTCAGGGTGTTTCAAGGCAATGGGTCTATTAATTAGCCTTATATAATCATTCCATAGTGTAAATTATATTCCATAAATATATACATTTATTGATTAAAAGTTTAAGAAGGCAATATATATACATATACATGTATACACACACACACACACACACACACACACACACACACAACTTGAACCAAAGATTACTTTTAGTTGCTGTTGTTTTTGAGATAGCATCAAACTACATAGACCTATATGCCCAGAACTCACTGTTTAGACCAGGCTGACCTTGAACTCAAAGACATCCACCTGTCTCTAACCTCCTGAGTGCTGAGGATTAAAGACATGTTTACCATGCTAGGCCATAGGTGATTTTATTTACTTTTGAGTAGCAATTGAACCTTCTAATGGTAAAGCTAAGAACTGGTAGGGTGTGGCTATAGAGTCCCCAGTGGCCTTCTCTGAGTACAAGACTGATGGAGGCTCACAGGACTTTGAAAGTGTGAGATGCTAGAATCAGAGGGAGATTACACATGGCAAAGGACTGTGCAAGAAGCCGTCAAGGATTGAAAGGTGTCAGTATTGGTTAACCCATGGCTGGGACATGGTAAGAGTGAACAGTGGGCTGCCGGCAGGCTCCTGGACTCATTGTTTATTTACAGAAAGGCCTTGAGGAATAGAGAAGGGGAGAGAACACATAGAATGTGTTTCTGTGATGGTGTGTAGAGAAGGGTGGTAGTGGTGAGGGGGAAACAGATTCAACTTTTTTTCTGGCTTCCGTTTAACACACACTTCCATCTTCCTTGTCCCTTTCTTGCCCCTGACCTCCTTGTCCCTTATCTCCTAACGATCTCAGGACCACCTCCTTCTGCTGGTTCTGTCGGGATGATTTCTCTGACCTTGAGCCATCGAGCTGGTTCTTCCGGATATAGCCTCATCCAGGCAGAGCCAAGTCCTGGCGGAGGCCTCACTGAAGTAATCCACAGTGAAAGCTTGTTCTTTTCAGAGAGCGAAGCAGGCTAAGGAGAAAAGATGTGTGTGTGTGTGTGTGTGTGTGTGTGTGTGTTTGGTGAAGCCAAACAGTCCCAACTCCAGTCTAGTTCCACTCCTTCACAAGATCTCTTTGGACCCTTCCCTGGATGACCTCCAATCTTAATGAAACCGGAAAGCAGAGTGTTGGACTTGCTCCCTTGCCCAACCAAAGAAGAGCACGCTGCAGTGTATTTTAAATGCCTTTGGCAAGCACGGGCGGGTGGGGAGGGCAGGAGGAGACTTTAGAACTTGGCCCACAAGGGCTTTCTCCATGAACCTTGAAGGGGAATGCGTCAACCACTCTCAGAGTCTTTATGGACTTATTTGTACTTACAAGAATGGGTGGGGACCACTGAAGACGTCTCAGACAAGACTTCTGCTCTGTTCACTGTTTACGTCCAGGAAAGCAGTGAGCAAAAACAGACAGAGGGGAACCCCAAGTTGCTGCGTGAGGGGAGCTACCTTTAAGAAGTGAGCTGGTTGAAAAGGGTCCTCGAGTGGGGACTTAAAGGATAGTGGGGGTGGGACAAATGGAGAGACAAAGAGATGGTGCATATGGATCATGTTCATAAGAGCGCGAGGAACACAGGAAGTAGCAGCGACTGGAAAATCAGAAATTGAGGTGTTTGAAGACCGGGGGGGTCACAGTCTGAGCTACGACTAGACAGGAAGGCAGAAGCAGGAGAAAGTAGTCTCTTGTTCTCTAGATAAAAGGGAGACAGACTAAGTTTGCCTTTTCTTGTAAGCGATGTAATGCTGCCAGACGATTGGATAGGGTATGTGGGAAACAAGGCAGCCCCGAGCCCCTGACTGGGCTGGCTGGGGGGCCCCCTCTGAGACTCTTGACTTGGCTGGCTTGGCTGTCATTGTCTAGTTAATGAAAAAATGGCTTGTGGCATGTGTAAATGACCCGTAGGACAGACCTGGATGCAACCGCTCTAGGTCCCTTCTAGCCAACTTGAGCGAGCCGTCTATGGCTGTTTGCTTTTCAGTTGTTTGCTTTGTAGTTAGCAGTGATGGCCAAGAACTGAAGGTCAGTGGGCATGCTTTTGATTTAGCTCACTGAATGGGTTTTGAATCTTCATGGGAAACCCTGTTTTCAGAATTCCAGTTGCCAACTTTCATTAGACAAAGACTCATGTATTAACTGACTCGTTTAAAGCCTTTTTAACCGAACAACGAGAATTTCTGGATTATCAAATGATGAATGAAAAGTTGCAATTTTGTTCATCTATTGTAAACAGGACACCTTCCTTATGGACTTCCCAACTCAGATCCTACTTATTGTGTAAGTAATAACTTTCCTCACAATTCTCCTGAAATCACCTTTCTGGGTCCTGGGACACAACACAGTATAGAGGGTTAGAAGGGTTGGTGTGTGTCTAAAGAGTCAATGTGTATGCATTTGTCCCTCCCTCCTCCCTCTCCATCCCCATCCACTTCCATTCAGTCTCTTAGACAAACTTCTAAGAGATAACAACAAAACATAACAAGATAAGATATAATAAAAGCCTTTCATATTGAACTTGGGCAGGACAAGCCAACAGAAGGAAAACAGCCCAAGAGAAGGCACAAGAATCAGAGACCCACGTGGTTACATATTCAGGAATCCCATAAAAGCACTAAACCAAAAGCTCTAATGTATATGCAGAGGACCTGGTGCAGGCCCTGTGCATGCTGCCTCAGTCTCTGTGAGCTCATCTGAGCTTTGTTCAGTTGACTCAGAGGGCCTTGTTCTCCTGGTTTCCTCTGTTCCCTCTGGCTCTTAGAATCTTTTCACTTCCATTTCCACTGGGTTCCTGACTCTGAGGGGAGGGATTTGATGGAGACATTCCATTTAGGGATGAGTTTTCCAAGGTCTCTCACTCTGTAATGTCTGGCTCTGGATCTCTGTATTTGTTCCTGTCTGCTGTAGGAGGAAACTTCTCTGAAGATGGCTGAATAAGGCACTGACCTATGGGTATAGCAGAATATCAGTAGGAATCGTATTATCAGTTCATCCTTCCTTCTTTCCTTCCTTCCTTCCTTCTTTCCTTCCTTCCTTTCTTCCTTCCTTTCTCCTTCCCTTCCTCCCTCCCTCCCTCCCTCCTTCCCGCTATCCCTCCTTTCTCTCTCTCTCTCTCTCTCTCTCTCTCGTTCTTTCTTCTTTAGAACAGTTGTATTTGTTTTTCCCTAGGTCTTTGGGCTATCTAGTCTCTGGTGGTCACCTAACCAGTGTTGTGAATGGGATCCACCTCATAGACTTTAAGTCAAATCAGACATGGGTTGGTCACTCCCCCAAGCTCTGGGCCACCATTGCCCTAGCGTACCTTGTAGGCAGGACACCATTGTAGATCAAAGGGCTGTGGCTGACTTGGTGTTTGTTTCCATTTTGGTATCACATAGAGTATTTTCATGTGCCAAAGATGCTAGAATATAGAATCTCAGTCTTCTTTTGACAAAATGGGAGACAGAGACAGGATAGTCCCCTGATGCTTGCATAGCCAAATAGGATGACATATGCACAGAAAAACAATAAAGGAATCCTGTCTTGAGCAAGGTGGAAAGGTTAGGGTTAGGGTTAGGGTTCAGGTTAGGGTTGGAGTTAGGGTTAGGATTGTTCTCTGACCTTCACTTGCTTGCTGGGCCACTGGCATACCCACACTCATGAGAAAGCACACACGCACAGACACATATGTATTTTATAACCACATAGCCACCCCAACCTTCTGACATACAAAGATAAAGATAAAACAGATACAACAAAAACCATCAGAAATCAGGCTGAAAAGATAGATAGTTCCATCAGTGAAGTGCTTTGCTTGCAAGCGCAACCATGAAGACCTGAGTTTGGTCCCCAGAAGCCATGTAAAACAATTGGGCATTGTGGCCTGTACTTGTAGTCTTAGCATTGTGGCGATGGTGACAGGCAGTTCACTGGGGCTCACTGGCCAGCAGGCCTAGCCTAATGGATGAGCTCCAGGTCAATGATAGGATGGTGAACATGCAGAATGACACTTGAATTTGGTCTCAGCATGTATGAGCACACTCCCTACCTCCAGCTAAATAACACAGAACAAGACAGAACCTCAAAACCCTAGTCATTTGTCACTACTGACTATCTGAATAACACATGGGGACATTCCTGCTTGATAGAGTCACTTAGCAGCACAACAACAGTTTTAAATTTTGATGAGAAGCTGGAGTTAATTTTTAGATTTTTTTTAAAATGAGATCAAGAAGGACATAGACTTTTTCAGAATAGTCCCCACTGAGGCAGCAAAGCAAAAATACCTTTAAGAACCAGCAGGCATTGTCAATTTGTGAAGTGGGCCATGCAGGTGTAATAGGAGGGTAGTATATCTGAGGACAAGGAAACTCAATTTTTAAAAGGCCACCAGTGTCACCATGCACACGAGTGTCTGGTGAATCCCATAGTAGGCTGTCATCATGAGGTCCTTATCAAAATGGTTGAATTTAGATTTCCGAGGCAGAAGACTATAGAAAAAGTCTAGAATGATGACAATTTCATTCCCTACAGGCAGATAACCTGAACCATACTAAATTCAGAGAAGATGTCAGCCTGTCGCTGTCTTTAGTTCACAAGACCAGGAAGCAGAAATTTGAGCCAAGATACAAACAAGTGATTTCTCTTTGGAGGCCTCTTAGACTTAGCAGGGATGTTGTCAGTCAGCGTTGGAAGCATACTGTGGTTTCCTAAAATGGGCAGGCAGAACTCAGATATCTTAAAGGGCAACTCTAACTATGGCTGTTCTTTGGCCAGAAATCCTGCTCCCTGGAGTCAAGTCCTCCTGACTTTGTGTCAGTCCACAGCCTACACTGGAATCCTTCAGCTTGCTCTTGTTTGGGGGTGATCAGAATTGAGCTGCTCTCAGCAAATCCTTTGCTATGTTTGGGGATTTGAGAAATCTCCTCCAGGAAGACACACAGCTACATGTGTGGTTCTCCCAAAGCTCTGCTGGATTTCAAGTCTGTTTGTTTTCACAGAAGCCAGTCTGGGTGTGCTGGGGTCTGAGATAACATCTTTCTGAAGTCTCATTTGTATTTAGAAATCCCTGGCAGTTGTGGAAGTATTTATATTTGGGGCTAAAAAGATCAACTGAGACTCAGTAAACAAGCAGATGGACATGAGACTGGAAGCTAAGAGAAGAATCACAGCTTTGACAAGTTACAGCCCAATTTGGAAAGGAGATGTCTTAATTTAAACATCTTGGAATAAAGGTTCTGCAGTGGGTCCCTGAGCAAACCACCCGAGGCAGGGCTGTGTACTGCAATGGATCCCTTCTCTGACCACTAAACTAATCTTTTATCAAAACAGCTCCCAGCCTCTGAAAGAGGGTTTTCATATTAAAAAGAGAACTTGCTTGCAGGAACTGGTTGCATCTCTTACATAATTCAGGAGAATTTTCCCCATTGGGCCAACATTCCTGGTGTTTCAGTTTACCACGAACGGCCTTAATTGTAGCTAGACTGATCTAGATTCTTGGAGAAGCCACAGGATTATTGGAACGTTTCCATATTTTTCATTTACATCCACCGTCTTTCTATCTTTCTGACTTCTGCTTTGGGGAGAACAGTGCGACCTTGTAAGAGTCATCAGCACCGTTAGGATTACAAACAGCTGTCTGTGTTCATGTGGCTTCCAATTAGGAATGAGTTGTGGTGAATAAATCCAGGTTCTACAGGCTTGGCTGCATTTGCCTGTTTGTCATTAATTAATCAAGGAGAGGGTGGTTTTCTGCTTCATCCGGTTTTCTGAGTCTGGTGTGAATGGAGGTGGTCATGCCTGTGACCAGTAGGTGGTCTCCTCTGTGCATATCCCTAACAGTTCCAAGTGTGAGTGCTGGCTTTGTGCCAGACACTGGGCTAGACCCCAGAGGTTCCCAAATGCTTAGAGCCAGACACAAATCCCACGTTGGTGAGAGGGTAACTGTTTTATCATAAGCTAGCACAGGGATCATGGGGAAAGCCCGCTGGTACAGGGGAGCTCTGGAGGGAAACACACCATAGATCAGGGGGCTTGGAAGGCTGAGATCTGAAGATAATGCACACAAGGAAGAGCCAGGTGACCAGATGAGAAGTGAGTAGACTGAGTTTGTTCTGAGGAGAGCGAGGATCATGCTTACATGTGAAGTTCCATCTTAATTATAGGAACAGTCTGCTCACCCTTGGAAAGTAGTTCAGTTTTATAAGCCTATAAATTCCAATGGTCTTCCAGGACCATTTCAGAAGCTCCTTTCTGAAGTTTTCCTCCAGCCAGAACTTTCTTGTTTTATACAATGGACATAACATAAAATTTGTGCCTCAGAGAGACAGAATATGATTACACAGACAGGATGTCCAAGTTTAAATCCTGATTCAACTATTTGCCGTGTGACCTTGTGAAAGTTGCTAGTCATCTCTGAACTTCGAATTGTCAGTTATAGGATGGAGATATGAAAAGTATCTTCCTCATGGATTTCACGGGAGGGTCAGATAGTTAGCCTGTAGTGTGTCCACTCCAGTGCCTGCTTCACAGCAAACCCTTACCACTGTTTCACCTTGTACAGCTTTATTGATGTAACCTATCAGCTAGTTCTAAACTCGTCTATCTCCTTATTGGTTTTGCCTCTGTACTCAGAGTTGGCTAAGCTCCATTCAGGAAGCTATCCTAAATGATTTAGCTTAGCATTTATTCTGGAAGATAGGGCAGCCTTTAATGTCCATGTTGCTCAAAGGCTGTATGTATTTAAGCGTTTAGGAATTCTATGAAGACACAGTTCCAGTTCAGTTGATGGGAAGCGAGGCTCAAGCCTCTGTGTTACCATGGAGCTCCAGGGTGATGTCCATGCAGTTGCTCTGTGCTGAGGAGTGAGGGGCCACACCATCACGTTGTGAAGAGACACCAAGACCATGGCAACTCTTATAAAGGATAACATTTAGTTGGGGCTTACAGGTTCAGAGGTACAGTCCATTATCATTATGGTGGGAAGCATGGCAGCATCTAGGCAGGCATGGTGCAGCTGAGAGTTCTACCTCTTGTTCCAAAGGCAGGTAGGAGAAGACTGGCTTTCACGCAGCTAGGAGGAGGAGGGTCTTAAAGCCCACACACAGCAATTACATACTTCCTCCAACAAGGCCACACCTACTCCAACAAGGCCACACCCCCTAATAGTGCCACTCCCTGGACAAGTATTTTCAAACCACCACAGCTGGGAACACTAGGAAGAAAGAGAGGATTTGCTCCCTACCATTCTTTATGCACGAAGCTTCATGGTCCATCCCCTTCTTGCCTGGCCCAGTGCTTACCAGCAGTGGCCACTCATTTGATGTAAGAGCATTGTCATCAGTGCACCAAGAGTGGCCCAGTTCTGGGGGACCACATCAGTCAGGGTTCTCTAGAGAGAATGACAGGTATATTCTGAGGGACAGTAGGCATGCTGACAATTGTTGGCAAATGATAAGAATCGATACTGAAGCTCCTGATCTGAACTTTACCTAGCAGACCAGTGGACCAAAAGCTTAGGTTAAACTTCTTAAGGAGGAAATCCTGCCCTAGGAAGTCTGGGTGCATAAGGACAATTATAGAGACGCTGGGCTGTTGTAACTGTTGAATTGTGTTTCCTTTGGCCTGAAATCCGTGTTGAATCCCGTCCCACAGTGCCCCAGAACAGGACGTGACTTGGAAATAGGACCTTATAGATGTACCAAGCTAAGACAATGAGTCTAGAATAGTGGTGGTACTTGATCTAATGTAAAGTATCTTTACAGTAGGCGGAAATTCAGATGGAGATGGGCATAGATAGAAGGCAGATGGTGGGAAGAGGCAGGAAGGTTATCGGGTGAGTGACAGTCCATAAGTCCTGAAACACCTGGGACCAAGAGAAGCTGGGAGAGGTAAGGAAATCTCACGTAGGTGATTTCAGGCTTTGGGGCTCCAAAATAGTGTGATGCCAACTTTCCATTGTCTTAAGGGGCAGTTTGTGGTATGTTGTGATGGTATCCCTAGAAAGCTAAGACAGCGGCTCTGAACTCTAGTTGTTTCTTGTTTTCTTTCTTATTTTGGTTTGGTTTGTTGAGACAGGATTGCACAGTGAAGTCCAGCCTTAGCTTCCTACCTCTGACTCCGGAGGGCTGGGGTTAGAGGCATGAACCATCCCGCCCAGATAATAATTTTAGTCTTTTATGTCATGTCTTTGAATTGTACTGCTGCCTTTGGGTGTGAAATGAAGATTCCAGAGGCCTGGGTGTTGTCTTGGGGAGTGTCCTGTTGGGTCGGGTGGGTCGTTTGGCTAACCTTCATTCCTCTGAGATATGTAACATGCTCTCTGAACTCAGCAAGAAGCTAGAACCTTTATGAAGAAAGTTGCAGGTTTCTCCCCTTTATGCCACCTTGTGAATCTGATCAGACCAAGTGCCAAGTGTCTGTCAATGTCCGCAGTCTCTAAATCTGGAATTAGTGGGTGCAGGCAGAATTGAAGCACGTATGTCCTGTCTCAGGTAAATTCGGGAGAATAGGAGGTTGGGAACAGGACTCTGGACTTCAGCACTGCTGGCTTTGGGTCCTGCTTGCAGTGTGGTTGCTGGCTAGCTGCCCCCCCCCCAGCCTCCCCCTGCCCCTGCTTGTGTATTAGGATTGCTTGCTTGTAATTCTAATGTTAAAGCAGTGGTTCTCAACCGTCCTAATGCTGAGACCATAAAATACAGTTCCTCAAGTTGTGGTGGCTCCCAAAGATTAACTGTAATTTTACTCCTGTTATGAATTATAACGTAAATATCTGATATGCAGGATATCTGATATGTGAACCCTGTGAAAGAGTGGTTTGTCCCCAAAGTGGTCTCCACAGGTTAAGAACTGCTGGATTATATTGCTTGAGAGTTTCTGGTGCAGTAGGTCTGGAGGAATTTCATAGTAAGTTTCCAGGTGATGAAGATATCATCAGCCTGTGGACCAGCACTCTGAAAGCTGCCTGCCTTAATCTCTCTAAGCCTCCACTCTCCGACCTGTACAATGAAGTTTGTGATGGTTCCCATTTGTATAGCTGTGGGTTTTATCGAGGAAACCTCAGAAGCAAAGCGCTGATAGCACACTGCTTTCCAGAAGGCTCCGTCAGTGCCAGTGTGCAAAGCTTTGGCTGCAACTGGCATGAACTTCAGTGATGCTTTTGCGAAGTCTCTCCAGGGCATTTCCAAGTCGGGAAGCATCTAAAGATGGATGTGAGGATACTGTGCAGAGATGATGCCTCCTCTTGGGAATTTCAGAGAAGCAGATTTTCCTCCTGTATCTGTGTGTGGGCCTGGGATGAGTTCTGTGCTGGAAGGAATATATGAAGGACAGCAGAGAGATTTCCCTTTACCTCAAGGCTCATCACATAGAAAGTCCTCTCACCAGTGCTTTGTGAGCACTCCTGCCATGGGGACCTGCAGCTGGCCAGCCTTGGCTGCCCCACAACAGCATGGCCCATCTGTGCAGAAGCATTCTCCGCCTGAGCCCTTTCCCACACTCACAGCTAAGCACAGAGATTGTCTCAAGTGTCAAGTGCCAAGGCCTTTCAGGAGCCACTGGATATGAATGTCCTGTGTCTCCTCTGGTGTGGGGGAGAGCACAGACATACAGACCATGAATGGACTGGCCCTCCTAACCCATTGTGACATCCCAGCCCCACAGCTCTTTCTTAGCTCCATCTTTGGGTTTCTAGCTTTGGAAGGCAGACAGTCCGTGTCAGTAAATATCTCCTTGTCTCCAGGATTCGGCCCCTTCAGAGGCCCGGGGCTCTGCTTGGGAGCTGTTGTCCTGTTGCTAAGATTCCTGGAGCTAATCCAAGCTCGCATTTCCCAGAGTGGTGCTGAATAGTTAATGATCACAAACCTCTGAAAATGTAGAGGCCAGGCTCAACCCAACATCATGTTAAAAATAATCTTCATATCCGAGAGGATGATATTTCTGCTTTTGTTTGACTTTTATGCAGCTGAACTTTGAGGGCAAAATTGAAAAAAAGTTTTTCTGTTTATGTTTGGGGAAAGCTTTCTTCTTCAAAGCAGGGGACTGTATTTGAGCCATTGTCATGTGCAAAATAGCAAGGGAGCACCTTCCACTTTAGCTAGAGGGCATGAAGTGGGTGGCGTAAGTATCTTGCTTCTACTTTTGAAGGTTTGTCTTTGCCCTAACCACAAATTTCTCTCCTTAACATCCTTGTTTCACCCCACAGTAGGGCCACATCATGAACAGTATTTAAAGAAAACTTCTAATAATACATTCTTGCAGCCAACATAACCCCTATTGCCCAACCCTCAACCTCTTTCCCAATTCCTATTTAGCTTGATTTTTTGACTTACAGTATAAGTTAATATTTATTTTCTTGCTTGTCTGGATGTCATCTCTGCTTAACTAGTGTGTCTATGTGATTTCAGAAATTGTACATTTGCTTGCTCTCACACTGGAATATTGAAATCCTGTGTATAGGGCCCTTCTCAGGCCAGTCTGTCTTGGCAGTCAAATTGAAAAGAGCAGAATGAGCCAGGCGCTGGTGGTGCAAGCCTTTAATCCCAGCACTTGGAAAGCAGAGGCTAGTGGATCTCTGAGTCTGAGGGCAGCCTGATCTACAGAGCAAGTTCCAAGACAGCCAAGGCTATACAGAGAAGGCCTGTTTGCTGAAAAACAAAACAATAGAAAACAAACAAACAAAAAACAAAAAGAAAAAAGGAAGAAAGAAAATCAGAATGAAAATCAAGGAGACACCTATATAGCAATATTAATCAGTAAGTGAAAATACCTAAAAAACAAACAAAAATAAAACAAAAAACCAAACCAAACAAACAAAAAACAAAAACAAAACAAAACAAACTAAATCCTCCAAACAATAACAACAAACAAATGAACAAAAAAACACAACAAAACAAAACAAAAAAAGAAAGAAAATACCCAAGGATCCAGGGACTTTTGTAGAAGCTTGATCAGTGTGCTTAGTAAAAATAAAAGCAGACCTGTCTTCTATTTTTACGCTGAAGAAAGCCAACTTATAACTTACTCCCCCTCCCTTATTTAATAGTGTAATGTCGGATAGGAAGGGCTTAAAAACAACGGAATCAGTGTTTACAGAGTTATACATAATCTTCACTGTAGAACCAGCAGCCATGTTTTTAGATATTTGCCCAATTGAGTTGAAAGCTTATGTCCACCAAAAACGTTTATGGCAGCTTTATTCATTAGAGCCTTGAGCTAGAAAAACATCACAATACCCTTCAATAAGTGGATGGGTAAGTAAACCACAGACCTTCTAGAAGGTTACTCCCCAGAGAGAAGGAGAGAGCCACCAAGCCCTGGGGAACGTTAAAAATGTACTGCCAAGTGAGAGAAGCCAGCATTCCAAAGCTTACACTGTGTGCCTCCAACCACGTAACATTATAGAAAAGGTGAAGGGTCAGCTGTTGCCAGGAGTTAGGGGCTGGCTGTGAACAGACGGAAACTGAGCAGCTGAGAGCAGTGGACGAATGCGTTCTGGCAAATACAGCAGCACAATACACAGGAGCACAGGTCGCAGGATAGACTGACTTCAGTGAATACAAACTCATCATTAGCAGTGATTGGCTGGTAACCAGAGTCCCATAGCGATACAAGATGCTACTGTCTCTTCTGTTTATCTTCCTAGTTTAGCTCAACGTGTGGACTCACTGTATAAATTAAGTTTTCTTGCTTGCCTGTAACCCTGTCTTCCTTTTGTTTTCTGTCCTGTCTTTTAGATGCTGGCTGGAGCCGGTTTGCTCTCTGGTTCTGGGGCTTTCCCCCCTGCTCTCTGAAGCTATTCTCCTTTTGTGATGTGGCTGCTCACAGGCCTGACTCAAAGGGTTTGGATTTCCTTCTACATCTCCTTACACTAGGTAGCTGTGGAAATTTACAGCTTTCCTGCTCTGGGAGTTTTTCCTTTAAATTCTAATAAAATTGTTTTTGTTACTTTTTTTTTTGAGGTTCATTTTAAGTCCATTCTTAAATTCTTTTACCAAATCCAGTCACTATTGCTAATGCCAAGAAGTGCTTGCTGACAGGAGCTTGTTATAGTTGTCCCCTGAGAGGCTCTGCCAGAGCCTGACACATAATAGATGTGGACGCTCGCAGCCAAACATCGGACTGAGCACTGGGTCCCCAATGGAGGAGTCAGGGGAAGGACTGAAGGAGCTGAGTTAGGACTGTAGGAGCTGAAGGAGTTTGCAACCCCATAGGAAGAACAACAATATCAACCAACCAGACCCCCCAGAGCTCCCAGGGACTAAACCACCAATGAAAGAGTACACATGGAGAGACCCATGGCTCTAGCTGCATATGTAGCAGAGGATGGCCTTGGCAGGCATCAATGAGAGGAGAGGCCTTTGGTCCTGTGAAGGTGCGATGCCCCAGCTTAGGGAAATGCCAGGGTGTGGAAGTGGGAGTTGGGGGAGTTGGTGGGGGAGAACCCTCACAGAAGCAAGGAAGAGGGGATGGGATAGGGGGTTTTCGGAGGAGAAGCCAGGAAGGGGGATAACATTTGAAATGTAAATAAAATAACCAATAAAAAATTTAAAGAGAGAGAGAGAGAGAGAGAGAGAGAGAGAGAGAGAGAGAGAGAGAACCCTGAGAAGGAGCCTCCAATTTATCTGACAACATGTCGTATCCCGAGTGGGACTTCAGTTTTCTGATGACAATATCACAGTGGCCACACAGTGGCTGTTGTCTCCAATGATTGTTCACAGAGAAGGAGAGGGCATCCTGATACCATTGATAGGTCACTGGAAGGCTGAAGCAAGGCATGGCAAGTATCACTACAGCGTGCAGCGGAAATGTGCACACAGTGAGGATGCTGGGAAAGACTAGGAGGCCTTCCACGTTCTGTGTTCCAGAAAGTCATGTGTCGAAACTCAGCAGCTTTTATACATAGACATGTAAGTGGATAAGCCTTCTGTTAGCGTTGGCCTAACAGTAATGTCAGGGTGGGGAGGGGGGAGGAGAGTTGGGGGGGAC